GTTGCAGCATGTCAGCCCTAGCCTCAGCCGTTGTGGCACATGGGCTTAGTTGCGTGTGGAATCTTCCCAGACCAGGGATCAAACTCATGTCCTCCGCACTGGCAGGCGGACTCCTACCCACTGCACTACCAAGTCAGTTCAGTTCTTCGCCGCCCCCCCCCCACCCCCGCCCCAGTCTGTCTTTTGAGAATTTAGTTCATTTAAAGTTCCTATGGATAGATATGGACTTATTATTGCCATTTTGTTCATAATTCTCTGGCTGCATTATAATTCCTTTGTTCCTTCATGTCTTGCTCTCTTTGTGATTTGATGGTTTTGTTTTTTGGGGTTTTTTTGGTAGGGGTGTGCTTAGATTCCTTTATCTTTTGTGTATCTAGTATAGGTGTTTGTTTCATGGTTACCAGGAGGCTTATATAAAATACCTCATATTTATAACAATTATTTTAAGCTATAACAACTTCAAATACTTAATTTCTACACTCTATTCCTCCCTCCATTTTATGTTTTTGGTGTCACAATTTACATACTTTAACCTTGTGTATACATTAAAAATTCTAAGCTATGCTTATTTTTAATATGCTTTTGTCTTTTAACCTTCATACTAGAGTTATAAGGACTTACCCACCACTATTACAACAGCACTCAGAATTTAACTATGTAGTTATCAGTGAGACATACTTTCAAGGGCTTGTTACTAATTAGCACCCTTGGATTCAGGTGGATGAAGTCCCTTTCAGCATTTCCGTAAAGCTACTCCAGTGGCAGTGAACTCCCCCAGCTGTTGCTTGTCTGGGAAATCTTCTCGTTCAATTCCGAAGGACAGCTTTGCTAGGTATTGATTGCCAGTTTTCATTTTGTTTTTTTTTTAATCTTTCCGTCCTTTTGAATGTATCACATCACGCTCTGCCTACAAAGTTTCTGCTGAAAAATCTGCTGACAGTCTTACGGGGGCTCCTTTGTACATAACATGTTTTTTCCTGCTGCTTTTAAGGTTTTCTCCTTTAACATTTCACAATTATCATGTGTCTCACTGTGGGGCTGTTTAGATTTATCTTTTGGGGATTTCTCTGTGCTTCCTAAATTTCGGTATCTGTTTCTTTCACCAGGTTAGGAAAATTGTCAGTGATATTTCTTTGACTAAGCTTTCTGCCCCTTTCTCTTTTTCTTCTACTGCTGGGACCCCCTATAATGCACATGTTTGTTCACTTGATGGTGTCACATAAGTCCTTTAAGGTGTTTTTACTCATTTTTTTTCCTTTTGTTCCTCTGATTGGATGAATTTTCACTGCCTTGTGAGTTCACTGATCCGTTCTTCTACTTGTCTGCTGCTGAACTCCTCTCTTGAGTTTTCCATTTCAGTTATTGTATTCTTCAGCTCTGTGATTCCTGTCTGGTACTTTCTTATAGTTTCTACCTTGATAAAAAATTCTCACTTTGTTTAAACACTGTTCTCCTGATCTCAGTGAGCATCTTTATGACCATTATTTTTAACTCTTTATTAAATACATCACTTATCTCTGTTTCATTAAGGTCTGTTTCTGGAGTTTTATCTCATTTTTTTTGTTTGAAACATATCCTCATTTTTCATTTTCACTGACTCTTTATGTTGGCTTCTGTATCTTAGATGAAAGAGCTATTCTCTCAGTCTTGACAGAGTGATCTTGTGTAAGGGAATCTTATACATCAGCTTGGCCAGAGCTCCTGTCTTAAACTTTTGTGATTTTCCATGCTGCCTTCTTTGTTCTTAGTGGCTTGCAGTAGTTCAGAATGTGTAAGCATCCTAAAGAGGAAGACTGCAGTTAGTACTTGGATGCAAGCTGACTGAAAGCTGTACTGTAGGCAGCAACAGGGAAAGTAGTCAGGGCTCTCCCAAGGAGAAATCAGGGTGACAGGCTTTTTTGCATGTTCCCTCTACACTGAGCCCAGGTATAGACCCTTGTGAGGTGTGGGCAGGGCTGCTATACCCATTAATAACTGATTCTTTGCTACAGATCCATGGCACTATAAGCATAAATCCTGCTGGCTATTAGAGCCAGGTGATCCAGGGGCCTCTCCCTTCCATGGCAGCTACAGAAGTGGAAGCAGCAGACGTGTGTAAGCTCCTTTGAGTGAGATACTGTCAATGTGCAGTGGGCAGACAACTCATTGGAAAAGTCCTGACACTGCGAAAGACTGAGGACAGAAGGAGAAGAGGGCATCAGGGGATGAGCTGGCTGGACGGCATCACCAATGCAAAGGATATGAACTTGGGTAAACTCCAGGAGCTAGTGAGGGACAGGGAGGCCTGGCATGCTGCGGACCATGGAGTCGCAAAGAGTCGGACACAACTGAGCAACTGAACAACAAGTGGGCTAAAGGGCTTCCCTGATGGCTCAGATGGTAAAGAACCTGCCTGCAATGCAGGAGACTCAGGTTCAATCCCTGGATGAGGGGAAGGCTACCCACTCCAGTCTTACTGCCTGGAGAATTCCATTAACAGAAGAACCCATGGGGGTCACAAAGAGTTGGACACGACTGACTAACAGTAACTTGAGTGGGTTTAAGTGAGAAGGCATAGATGGTATGTTATCTGCTGGCTTCCCCAGTCTCCAGGGAGGGTCCCCATCAGCTCCTAAATGCATGCTAAATTCTCATGTCATCCTTAATAAAAGCCAATTCTTCTGTGACCATTTTCGGTTTCTCCATAACTTCATTTTGAGTAACTGTCCTTATACAGAATAGTTCTTGTCCTATTTTAACACTTTCTGCATTGATGTCTAATAATTTATGATATATGCCAGTCTTCTCTTACTTACTTACTGGGTTTTTCAGCTTTTATCGTCCACAGTAATTTAAAATGTGGAACTCCTTTTTTCCTTCCACTGGCATTTGGATCTAGCGTATTTTTTACCCCTGTTTTACCATTACCTTCCCTTGCTGCCTAGTCCTTAATCATTTTTTAAACATTTAACTTTCATATTCCAAAATTCATGATTACTCTCTCCATGTGCTGATATAAACCTTTGGCATTTTTGAAGGCAACAGCAGAGTACTATATTTTCTAAGCTGCTGCATGCCATGATACTCCTTCCGGCATCTTCATCACTCTTATTCCATTAAAAATATGTAGACATTGTTCACTTGTCTTCTGACAGTTAATATAACAGAAACAAGGAGTAAGCATTCCAATTTTTCTACCTAGATGTTTGAAGAATTTTTTCTTTCCTATGTTTCCCCAGAACATTAACATTTCTGTTAATTTTGTTAATGTTGTTCTTGTTGAGTCACTAAGTCATGTCTGACTCTTTGTGACCCCACTGACTGCAGCACACCAGGCTCCCATGTCCTTCACCATCTCCCGGAGTTTGCTCAGATTCATACCCATTGAGTCAGTGGTGCTATCTAACTATCTCATCCTCTGCCAATCCCTTCTCCTTTGGCTTTCAATCTTTTCCATCATCAGGGTCTTTTCCAAAGAGTCGGCTCTTTGCATCAAGTGGCCAAAGTATTACAGCTTCAGCCTCAACATCAGCCCTTCCAATGAACATTCAGGGTTGATTTCCTTTAGGACTGACTGGTTTGATCTCTTTAATGAAGAGACCTTAATGAAACAAAGCCTTCTAAATCTTCCCAGTTAGTAAAAATCTTAAGTTTTTCTCTTATATTGTAATTACTGCTTTAGAGTACCATTTGTTTTTCTTTTTAATAAATACCATTTATTTGGATTCAGTGTTGATTATGCTTATCTTCAGTGAAGTATTCTATATTAGTTTTTTTTTCCTCCCATGTATTTTACCTAGTTTCTGTTATAGTTAGGACAGATACTTATTTGAAAGTACTGAGAAGACAAACATAGTGAAATAAGAACTTGAGCTCTGGAGTAAGACTGCTTGGAACTGAATCCATCTCAGCTACTTACCAGGTAGTTGACCTTGGGAATTTATTTTACCACTCCATGCCTCAATTTCCTTATCTATATAGGAGGGATAATAATGGTACCTACCCTATTGAATTTTTGTAAGGATTAAGGGAATTAATACAAATAAAGCTTCTAGGTCAGTACTTAGCACATCAGTTCAGTTCAGTTCAGTCACTCAGTTGTGTCCGACTCTGCGATCCCATGAACCACAGCACGCCAGGCTTCCCTGTCCATCACCAACTCCCGGAGTCCACTCAAACCCATGTCCATTGAGTTGGTGATGGCATCCAACCATCTCCTCCTCTGTCGGCCCCTTCTCCTCCTGCCCTCAATCTTTCCCAGCACCAGGGTCTTTTCAAATAAGTCAGCTCTTCGCGGCAGGTGGCCAAAGTATTGGAGTTTCAGATTCAACATCAGTCTGTGCAAAAGGGAGCTAGCTGTAACTACTATACAGAAATTTTTTAAAGTAGCCTTTGTCATAGTCCTCGGAACAGTTTTTTTCCATGTTATCTTTTTCTTCTTCAAAGATAAGGATTCACTGTGAATTACTTGCCGTGCGAGATCTGTAATACCACATTTCTATCCCCTTAATCCCCCACTATTGTCATTATGATCTTGGACAGAAGCTTTCCCTTCTCTGAACTACAGCTGAGGTTGGTGTGCATAGACCCTGCCTACAATGTGGTTTTTTTTTCTAGATAAGATGCAACTCAGGACACTTATGCTGCATTTTTATCTGGTTAAGAACAGGCATTGTAGCATACTGAGTATGACAATCTCTTCTCTTCATAAATCCATTCAGTTGATCAGTTTAGTTTCCACCTTCTTTCCTACTCTCTGTGCTGCTGCAGTAATGAAAACAAAATCCCTAATCTCACCCCCAACAAATTCTGAATGATGAGCTTATGAGAAATTGTACCCACTTCAGACCTGAGCACATGGATTCCTCTTATTTCTAGCAACACTACACACAGTGTCTTTGGCTTCTTGACTAATAATATAAGGTATTCCTAGTTTGCACAGAATAAGTACTCTCACTTTGAAGAGTCTATTAAGTCTAAATTAGTGACAGGTAATATTCACTTAATCTTTAACAATCCTCAAAAATGTAAATTAAAGATTTATTCCTCTAACATGGAAGCTTCTACTTGTAAGTCACTAATATAATTATGCACAATGGTATTTCAAACAGTATAGCTTTATAACAAAAATCTGTTCAACATTATAAAAAATGTAAAGAAGAAGAAAAAACTACAATCTCAAAGGTTTGGGGATTTGATCTTTTTACCTTATTTTTTAAAAAGAGTTGAAAATAATAAAAATTTAAATAGATTGTTCTGATATTGGCGGACACAATTATTCTGACACAAGTCACCCTGATTACAGCAGGCCTTTCTGGCTACATAGGGCTGTCGCCATAGACCACAGCCATTGTCTACAGCTTCTGGATCAGCATGGCGGAAGCGCCTCCTCCTCCGTTGCAGATACTGGCAAGACCATATTCTCCTTGCTTCAACGCATGAGCCAAATGGACAATGATTCTGGCTCCAGACATCCTAGGATCAAGAAAGCATTGTGGTACTTTAATGGTTTATAGACCGTGTGAATAACCAAATGAGCCATGACTTGTAGCTGAAGTTAACTACTTTAACTGGGGAGCCTTGTTTCAAGAATGGTTACAGCTTTTTTTTTTTTTTTGGCCACTCTGAGCAGCATGTGGGACCGTGGTTTCCCAATCAGGGACTGAGCCCCACCCATGGCAGTGGGAGTGCAGAGTCTTAAACACTGGACAGCCAGGGAAGCCCCACAAAAGCCCGAACATAGACTTGAATCTTAAATTATCGTCTTCAGCATAAAACAACATTACTTTTCAAGCAACAAGAGTGATAGATCTCTGTGTTCAGTGGGAATTCTATCAGAAATGGTGTTTGCCTTATGAAGGACGGGTAGGAAGAAAAAATGGTAAACAAGACCAACAGGAATTATCATGAAGCAGTTTAAATTTAGAAATACAAAGATAGCCATTAATCTAGCTTTTTTTTCTTTATGATTTTACCTACCCAATCGGATGTCCAAGAGAAACAGCTCCTCCATTGATATTCACTTTTTGGGGATCAAGCTCTAGCATTTTAATGTTTGCCAGTACGACCAGACTGAAGGCTTCATTTACTTCCCACATACTAATATCTTCTTTTTTCAAACCTGCATCTTTAAGAACCTAAATTAAAAAAAAATAAAGATTATGTTCACATAATTAGGTCAAAACTTACTTTATCTTCTCAAAATTCTGCAATTTTTGTTTGTGTCTCCCCTGTTCCCAGCAGAAGTGTAGAATCCTGACCACTGGATCACCAGGAAATTCCTTAATTTCTCATCTTTGTTTGCATTATCATATTTCTATTTTGAAAAGAGAAAACTTGATTTTCTTGAACATTCCATGGAAAAGAACACATACTCCTTATTTGGGGGTACATACTTGACATATACTCTTGAGATCTACTTTACTGATTGTATGCTGCTTAGTTCTAGATTCTTTATCTGTCAAAGAAAGAGGTGTACTCTCTGTGTGTGTATGCTCAGTCACCCAGTCGTGTCCAACTCCGCGACCCCATGGACTACACCCCACCAGGCTCCTCTGTCCATGGGACTCTCCAGGCAGGAATACTGGAGTGGGCTGCCATTTCCTACTCCAGGGATCTTCCCAACCCAGGGATCAAACCTATGACTCTTGTGTCTCCTGAACTGGCAGGAGGATTCTTTACTACTGTACCACCTGTGAAGCCCTTATCTGTCAAAGAATTACATTAATCTCTAATAATTTTTCATTGCATCCCCTAGAGTTTCTGCTTTATAAAAGGTGCCATGGGGTTATTTGGGGCACAGTTATTCAGAGTGATTGTGTCTTCACTGTGAATGATTTATTTAAAGTCTTATGATTTCTTGTTCTGATAGTTCCTCAGCTATTGCAGATGTTATCTTTATGCTTTTATCTTTATAAAATATTGCTAGAGTCCTTTATCTTTAGAACATTTTTTGTTCTGAGCAACAGAAAAATTAACATGAAACTTTCCCTCCTCCTTGCTTTCTTCAACAGCAGGCTCAGGTAGCTTTCTAAGCTGTAAAGCTCAAACAGCTTCCTCTAGTTCCAACAACAAACAAGTAGCTACGTGTAGCCACTTTTCTCACTCTCAGAATCTAGCTGAGAAATGTTTATCACCCTCCTTTCCAGTGTGATGCGTTCACTTTCAGAAGCTGTATCACTGTGTTTTCTGAGATCTGCCACCTCTGGACAGAGCGTCATCACTCCCTGTTCCTTATGCTTCGCTATCCTACTCCCCTCTGTTTTTTTTTTTTTCTTTAAATCTGGATGTTACCCCCAGAAGTTCTCTCTCGGGGTGTGGCCTTCTACTTCTGAAAAGGAATATGTGCTGCAGTCTTCTGAAATCCCTTAACCGCTAAACCAACACAACACTGTGTCTTTTCATGTGACCCCTTAGTTACTTCCCACAAAGACTCAAACTGACAGTTTGGAGCAGAGTTCTCGCCATCTTTAGTTTTACTCTAACACCAGCTACCAGCAGTTCCCCTCTTAGAAGACTGCTCCTTCTAAGTAATGAATATCTGCTTTGAATTCTAGAACCCTGGACTCTCAGCATTCCCCTTTCTCTGCCATACCAACTTCCTACTTTGTGATTATCATTCTCTGTCTGTGAGTTCAGCACAAGGAATTCAATTACACAGTTCTAATCTGCTCCACTGAAGATACAGTTTGTGTGCTGCTCTTTTACTTTTGTTGTTATCCGTGTTGCTTTCATTGTTTTCAGGAGAAGTGAGATTTGAAACTAAGCTACTGCTATGCTTTGGAAGATGAATAACATTTAAATTCTAAAACATGTAACCTTGGTATAAGCAAAACCAGAAATTGGCAGAATAAAATATGATCTATATTATTTTGTTCTCACCTTAGGAACAGCATATGCAGGTGCAACTGGAAAATCAATAGGTTCTACAGCAGCATCAGCAAATGCTTTATATAAAAAAGAAATAGGTCATTAAAATCTTTCTTACAAATACCCAAAGCTATATCTAACAACTTACATGATATGCAAAAATTCAACTGTAAAATATTTAAATGTGTTTGTGCATTTTCTAAGATTCTGTACTTTATAAAATTATACCAATCATCTAAGCCATTGATTTTCACAGATAGGGAGTTAGAGGGAATTGCCTCCCGGGACAATGGCATTATCTAGAAATATTTTTGGTTCTTGCAACAGGTAGAATGCCACTTATTATAGTATCTAATGGGCAGAAGCCATGGATGCAGTTAAAAATCCTACAATGCATAGAACAGGCCCTACAACACAATTATTTGTTTTGCTGAGGTTAAGAAACCATGATCTAAACAAAACGGTAACTGTTTAACTCCTTATGAAGAAGGCAAGGCAGACTTTACAGCTACAAATATGCTTCAAGAGACTGAGGAAATGCTGAGACCACATAAAGTGAAGTCGCCCAGTCGTGTCCGACTCTTTGTGACCCCATGGACTGTAGCCTACCAGACTTCTCCGTCCATGGGATTTTCCAGCCAAGAGTACTGGAGTGGGTTGCCATTTCCTTCTCCAGGGGATCTTCCCGACCCAGGCATGGAACCTGGGTCGCCCGTACTGTAGGCAGATGCTTTACCCTCTGGGCCACCAGGGGAGGATCTTCTGAGACCACAGAGTTAATAATAAATGCCAGTACTGTTACATTTTTCATACTCCTAAGCTCATATTCTTTCTATTCTACCTAACAATGCCAGAGGAAAACCTGTACCTTGTACTCTCCCACCATTCAGAATAGGAAGAGATTTCTGAAAACTTTCCCTTATATAAATCAAATCATAATGAAAATATTAAAGGAGATTCTATCTCAATTAAAACGTGTACTAAATTATGTCACAACATAAGACAGATAAAAATCACCAACTTCTATTATTACTGACAAAGAATCTCAGTATCAAGAAGAGTTTACAGGGGTTTAGGAATAAACCAGTTCATAACACTCTCTACCTGCTATTCTTGCCAGTGGTTTAACACCGAGCCTCTTCGCTGCATCTGCGGTCATCAGAACCACAGCAGCTGCTCCATCATTCAGCGTGCTGGCATTGGCAGCTGTCACTGTACCTGAAAGTGTCAGTGAGCATGACATCAGAACATTCTGTCATGCTGAATTCACTGGGGTCAATTTAACAAATTCCCACAGAACACTGCCTGGGTTGCTAGATGCATGAAGATATGGATGGAAGTAAGTCCTGCCCTCAGGACATATACATAACTCAACGTCTAAGTGTATAACACAGTTAAAGTATGTATGTCTTTTTATGTTAGTTTTTTGTGTTTATTCTAAGCCAGCTCAAAATGCATGCATAATGGCACTGGATAGATTCTGGTTTATAATTCATCAAAGATAAGGACCTCTTCACGTTTCTCCTAACTCTACATCTTCCCTTATCCACAAAAGAGCAGACACTCATACATTTTGCAAATTGGTGTCAAAATCAGATACTTCTTCTCTACAATCACTTGAAGTTAAATGAATACTAAAAATTACTAAACTATACACTTTAAACAGGAGAATTTTATGGCATACAAATTATATGTCAATTAAGCTGTTTCCTTATAAATACCAATGAAGGTACTATTATAGACTGCTGTCAAAATTATAAAAATATACTTTGGCAATATAATTTTTTTTTTGGCCAAGCCATGAGACTTGTGGGATCTTAGTTCCTGACCAGGGATTGAACCCATGTCCCCTGCAGTGGAAGCACAGAGTCCTAACTACTGTACTGCCAGAAAATTCCTTATAATATAAACTTGTAAGAAAATTCCTTACAATATTAAAAAACAACAACAACAACAACATTGATCCACTCTTATAGCTCGCATTGAGAAATTCAGTCAGAAAAGGGGAAAAAGGTTATTTCAGATTATTATCACAGCTATATACAGCCAATTTTAAAAGCAGAAGTGACCTTTTCTCCTCAAAGGATTTAGAACCCTGGAACCCCATTTAGATACATTTATTTATTAAGGACCAGAGATACAACACTAAAAAAAGGGCTATCAGCTTAGTCCTCCAGAGGCTTACAGACATTTAACATAATATGTAAACTTGACTTTCATATCACAAAAAAACTTCAAGATGAAATGCACATGAAAAACTGAATTATATAGTCATTCTACAATCTGTTTCAGAGGCTATATATATTCATTATTAAAAGTACTAACTGACTAACTGTATATAAAATAGATAACTAGTAAGAACCTGCTGTATCGCACAGGAAACTACCTAATACTCTGTAATGACTTAAATAGGAACAGAATCTAAAAATGAATATATATATATAAATATAAATACATATAAAACTGATTCACTTTGCTGCACAGCAGAAACTACTACAACACTGTAAATCAACTAGACTCCAATAAAAAATAATTTTAAAAAACTTCAAACACATATATACAAAAACAAAGAATTATTAGACAATTTTAAATTACTTTGGATAAATATGTTTTGTTAACTTCATTTGAGCCTAATACACTGAAAATGTTAAATAACATCGAGATGTTTTCTAGAATTACTTTTTAAAAATCCTTAGGCAAAAAAAGAAAAAAAGAAAAAAAAATCCTTAGGCAGTTCTACAACTAGATATGGTATACCGACTGTCTTTTTTTCATATGCTTCATTTCTTAATACTAACCATTTTCTCTTTGGAAAACTGTCTTCAGCTTTGGAATTTTGCTAAAATCAACACGTTTATATTCTTCATCTTCCTTTACCACTACATCTGGTTTACCTAAAACAAAAATCTTAAATTAAGTAATCTTTGCAGTAAAGACAACAGTTACTTGCTCAGTAAGAAACGGTGCAAAAGGTGCCTGATAGTCTCTGCTTCCCTTTGTGTGCCCACATACCTTATACCATCCCAACTAAATTCCACTCAAGAATCTACCATCTGTAATTTGTTAGTGTCTTAAAAAAGAGTTCATTAAGTAGCTTGATGCAATTTAAATCTTCTATTCAGCCACATCCCACTGACTTCTCTCTTGAGCTCATTCTATGATCACAGACATTCTTCTAACCCCACGGGTAGATGTCCAATGTAGACGTAGGCTGGGTAAGTTTGGTCAAGCTTGGGTATTCCATCATTCTCATCACAGTAATTATTTCTAGAATGGAAATGTAACCCAAACCAAGTTAATGAGTCTTTACTGTGGATTCATTCTGCTGCGGTTGGTGAGGAGGTGTCTTTCCCCTGTGAGAGCCCTACAGATGGACTCTGGAGATGGCGGCAGCAGTGTAGGAAGCTGAGAGCACAGAAGCAGCACTGAGAAGCCACGATGGCATGTCCTCACAGTGCTGCCCACTCTCTCCCAATCCCTGCAGCTCCCGGTGCTGACCGGCTGCTGCCGTACAGCTCTCAGTTCTGGGACAGACCCCCAACTAGCCTTCTAGTAAACACCCCCTTTTCACGTAACGTGTTCAACAGTCTATCGGTTATATTAGAAAGAGTTCTAATAAATACATTTCTCAAAAAAAATATGCATAGTGGAATTTGCAACTGAGTTGGAATCAGATATTAAATTGGGTTGAATTATCTCTGAACTAGCAACATTTCCCTTTACTAACCATTAGCAGCAGTGTCAGCATCTATAGTTGAAATTTTTAAAGTACCAATTTAAAACTTAAACATAAAAAGTTTAGCAACATGTGAAGTCTATTAAAAATTAAAATCTATTTTGGAACATAATCCTTCAACCTTTTACTGTAATTGTGACAGGAACAACTTCATTTCCAAATCTTCCAGCTTCCCATGCCGCTTTACTTCTGGTATAGGAATTAAGGGCATAAGTATCCTGTTCCTCTCGTGCAATGCTCAGCTTCTTTGCGGTATTTTCAGCACAGTTGCCCTGATGAAAGTTGGAATTTTTAAAAAATCTAAGTAACTCTGCAAAACTTATAAAGTATTAGCTTTTTATAACATAAAACAGTGATTAGCAGTTAAATTTAGTTCTTGAAATACACTTCTTTCTGTACTCAGTAACTCACTCACATCTCAGCTACTTGAATTAGCCCAGAAGTTGCTATTTTGAGGACAAATAATTAAACAGTTATGGTATCCATTATTAGAAGTCAGAAAATGCACTATGTCAGTGTGGGGCAATCTATTCCAAAATTGAGCCAAGCTGATACGATGAGCATAGAAAAACATCTTCCTAAAATGAATGGCTAAATCAACACATAGAAAAACATCTTCCTAAAATGAATGGCTAAATCAACATTTATATCCTTCAGTTTCTGGAAAAAAAATACATATTTTTTAATCAAGCAGTATTATGTATAAATGGCATTTATCCATTAAAAAAGCAATAATTACCATATGAATTTTATTGTAGACATCAGTTAGTCCATCTTTTACAATCAAATCTTCTAGCTTTACCCCACCATATGGTGTTGTTCCTCTGTTCATTACATAGGGGACATTGGACATGCTCTCCATCCCACCTGCCACCATCACGTCCTGCTCAGCAACACATAAAAACCCAATGTCAATTCAAATGGTACCACTGACTTTTGAACACCATAGTTAGGAACATCAATCCTCCACACCTGATAATTTGGGTGCAACTTCACAGTTGGCCCTTCCTATCCATGGTTCTAGATCCACAGACTCAACTGTAATATGTATTTATTGAAAAAATATTGTGCATTTAGTGGACCCAGGCACTTCAAATCTATGTTCATGGGTCAACTGTAGTTGCAAATCCATTATACCCTTTACACAACAAGGATTGTACCTGAACTTTATGAAACATCGCTATACAGTCAATATAAGAAGTACCCTCTTGATGCTGGTAAAAGGAAATGGTCTGAAATGTGTAATGGTAATTAAGATCAGAATCAGACAGTAATAGGAATCTTTAATGTAAAACCATCTTATGAAATTCTTCTAAATCCTTCATTCCACTGACACTGACAAAAATATAATCTCAGTTCTCAGAAATAATCCTAGTTCCTTGATTGTGATCCTCCTCATCAACTCTTCCCAAACAGCTATAATAACTTTCTAACTTGGTCATCTGACAGAAAGCCTTTCCTTCCATCCAAGTGTCATCTACACTCATCTGAGTCATTCTGGCTAGACTAAGTCTGGTCATTCCACTCCGTAAAGGACTCCCCAGCACAGTATATAAGGCTCTTTACAATCTGGCTTTTCACTCCCTTCGCAGTCTCATGCCTGGACCTACATGAGTGGAGGTCATACAGAATTGTTTAAAGGTCTTCACACAGACTTCCCTGGTGGTCCAGCAGTTAAGACTCTGCACTTCCACGGTAGGGAGAATGGGCTCAATCCCTGGTTGCAGAACTTAGATCTCACATGCCATAAGGCCAAGAAGGAAAAAAAAAAAAAAAAAATCAAGGTCTTCAAAGATACCATGCTAATTCACACACCTCTGCACTTCTGACCTATTCACCAACAAGTAAAACACCATCATTTCCTTTAAAACTAATCGAGACACAGCCCCTTCAACCCAACAAATTGGTTGTCAGCCACTTTCCCTGACTACCTACTTCTATCCCTTTTTTTTCCCCTATCCGTTTTTGGAACAGTCTCCCTTCCTTCTTTTGTGTTCCCCAATTACTGTGTATTCCTTTTATTAATAATATTACACAGTACTGTAGCTATATTTATATGTCAACCCTTTTCACTGAACTAGTGAGGCCTTTCTGGCTCCTTTGAGGCCAGAAACTTTGTCCTATCTATTTTTATGTAATTAGTGCCTGGCATATATAGTAGAAGTTTAGTAAATATTAATCAACTTACCTGTAATTACAGATCAACAAGAGAAAATTCATTTGCATTATAAAGGCTAATTTGAAACAAAGTTTAATATAAAAGATTAATGTAAACAAAAACTAATGTTATAGTCTCACAATCTTTAATCAGAAATAAAGACAAACAGAAATTCCATACCAAAGAAACCTAAATACTTAGCCTATTATGAAATATGGAGAGTCTCAAATAGTTCCTATATAAGTTTTATTCTGTTATCCTGAAATACTGAGTATTTCCTGGGGATGATGAAAATAAGTGACAGAAATCATTATCAATTCTACAGTATTAAATAAAATTGATCATTAGGTAATATTCAAAATAAGGCAATTCCTGCTGCTGCTGCTAAGTCATGTCAGTCGTGTCCAACTCTGTGTGACCCCATAGATGGCAGTGTGACCCCATAGATGGCAGCCCACCAGGCTCCCATCCCTGGGATTCACCAGGCAAGAACACTGGAGTGCGCTGCCATTTCCTTCCCCAGTGCATGAAAGTGAAAAGTGAAAGTCAAGTCGCTCAGTTGTGTCCAACTCTTTGCGACCCCATGGACTGTAGCCTACCAGGCTCCTCTGTCCATGGGATTTTCCAGCAAGAGTACTGGAGTGGGGTACCAGTCCCTTCTCCGAAGGCAATTCCTAGTGTTCCTCTAAGTCAGATAATTTTAAAAATACAGATATGAATCAAAGAATATTAACTAAAAGTATTTTATAGAGAACCACAAAAGAATCAACTGAGACAAAATTATCCTTGTCATTCAGTTTTCAAACACCTAACGATCTCATGACCATTTTTCACCCACTGGTTTGACTAGGGTTTGGTTTGATAATACCTGATGTCAGTGTTACCTTATGTATAAGCAAACAAGCTCTCACAATCTTTGGGAAATATGTAACTGGTATAACTTTTTATGGAAAGTATTTGAAAATATCCAAATTTTTAAATCTGTGACTCTGAAATTCTCCTCTTAGGAATTTTTCCAAAAGAAAGACCTACACATGATAAGATTTTTTTTTAATGTTTTATTCACCTGTCTCTGGTGAATGTCCATATATAGTTCCTCAGCGAATGACAAGCAATGCTAGGATTTGAAATTAGTCTGGCTCCAGACTTTCTGTTCTTAACCACTACATTATAATGCTTAGTATAGTGAATTAAGAGTTGATTTAATTATTTATAAGTAGACAAAGATACACACATAGGGGTACTCTCTGGAGCATTCTTTAAAATAGGGAAGAACTGGAGACAACCTAGATATCCATTCAATAAGGACCCCCAAAATATATTATACTTGTTCAGTTCAAAAGAATACTATCTCAGGTGCTGATACAGAAAGATCTCCAATACATTACATGAGGCACAGAAGTTAAGCAACTTGCCCAAAGTTTCTCTGCTCTTAGGTGGCAGAATATACAAGAAAGTGATGAATAAATCAGACACTTAAAGCAGGGTAAGAAGAAAGATTTTTCATTTTATAATTTTCTATACTGTTTCAGTTTTTAGCATATGTATCAGGTATCACTCTTTTTTTCCTTCCCTCTTTGCCTTGCCTGGAAACAAGGCAAGGGACGAGTAATAGCAAGGGTATGCAAAACTGTGATTCTTATGTATATATAAGAAATAATCTGCAAACACCTCACAACTGGTTTTTATCTTGGTGTATTATGCCCTGATAGGCCAGAATGCACTACACAGGGACAGAGACACCTGTTTTCTAATTTAAGCCCTGTAACTATGCTTGTAGTCATCTCGACCTCTTTCTTCAACTGATAAAAGGGCTTGAATCTGATAAACTCTTACTTCTGAGTTCAGGTCTAGTCTCCTAACACAACATATAATTTGCTGAGCAGCCTATCTCTTGCCCAGTCTCAAACAAGATCAAAATCATCAAGGCCAATAGAATGCCGCACAATTTTACAGCCAAATCTGGACGTGAGGCACAACAAATCAGTCAACAATTCTGGGTTCAGTCAATGATTTCATCCCCAGGGTCAGCACCTTATTCTCACTTATAATGAAAGCCCTTCTCAATATAGCAAATACAACATTTATGATGTCTTAAATCCCCCAGAATCTCTAAGTGGAAGGGGCACTAAAACATCCTAGCTGGAAACTACTTTTAATACAAAACACTTCAGCTATCATTCTAACCTCTACTTCAAATGTAACTGCCAAATCCAAACACACCTCAGTGTCTGAAACAACACAGAAACTGCACTTACGAGAAAGAATTTCACTTCTAAAGTATGAATATGTTTAGGCTTTAAGTGTTTTCTTAGCACCGCATATATATATATATATACATATATATATATATATAAAGTGGAAAAGAAGGTACTTCTTACCTGATGCCCACACATCAGATTTTGAGAGGCCATCATGATGGCTTTCATTCCTGAGGCACAAACTTTGTTTATAGTGGTACATGGAGTAGAAATAGGCAGGCCTAAAACCAATATAAATCATACTTTTGAAAAAAACAGATTCTTTTCAAACACAACTGTAATAAAATAGAGTATGTTAAACCGTAATCTGAAACATTTGTTTGGTGAATGTAAGTCTATTATGTATTCATATTCTATTTAAGCTGAAATGACCTCCATTTCGCCATGTCCAACATTCAAATATAAAAGCAAAAATGCATTCCTAGTACCTGCACCCAGTACTGCTTGCCTTGTAGGGGCCTGTCCTTCACCTCCTTGTAGAACATTGCCCATGTATGCTTCTTTCACTTCTTCTTTTGGAATCCCTTTTTTTAAAAAAATCAAGAAACATTTCCATATTTTATTCAACTCAACAATTAGTAATTACTTAGTAAAGTACCTGACTAATTATATAGCAGGAATGTTTTTTGTCAGTTTTGAGTTTTATTACTAACACTGTATTCCAAGGACTTCTTTTCAAGAGAATTCAAAAATGCATTCATTAATTCATTTCTAAGTGTTATGTATATAGTAAGTGCAAAATAAACATTTGCTCCAATGAATCACTATTCCCTCAACACAAAAAGTAAAGCAACTACTGACCTGCCTTTTCAATGGCTCCTTGAATCGCAATGGAACCAAGTTTAGTGGCTGGCAGAGATGAAAGACTGCCTAGAAAGGATCCAATGGGTGTTCTTGTAGCACTTACTATGACCACTTCCTGGCAAGACAGAAGATGGGAAAAACTATTATATTTAAATATTTTATCAAAATCATCTTTCATAAATAAGCATAATTCATAGATATATTATTCAAGAAACAGACTTTTTATGAGTGACTAATTACTCATCAAAGGTGAAAATAATCTCAGTATTTGAACAGCACTAAAACCAGTATAATGCTAGTACTTTATGACTTAAAACCTAATAGAAAACTAAGACAAACCAGTACTAAAATAGGCATAGACCAGAAGCTTAAGTTTCTATTCCTCAGTCAAAATTTAAGAAATGAATACTTTACCCTTGTTAACTGCGTAATAAACAATCCTAATTAAAGGCTTCCTTATTGAAAGGAAACTTTAGGCTAGGAATTAAGAACCTACATGCTAGTAGGGGCCACACCGCTTCACTAGGACACAGCCAGAGCCATAATTTCTTTTTATTTTCGTTGTTACTTGGCCGCACTGGGCCTTTGCTGCTGCACACAGGCTTGCTCTAACTGCGGTGAATGGGGGATGCCCTCGAGCTGCAGTGCCAGCGTTCCCACCGCAGCGGCTTCTCCTGTTGCAGAGCATGCACTCCAGTGTGCGCGAGCGTCAGCAGTTCTGGCGCACGGGCTTAGCGGCCCCATGGCATGTGGAACCTTCCCAGACCAGGGATCAAACCCTTGTCCCCTGCGTTGGCAGGTGATTCTTAACCACTGGACTACCAGGGAAGTCTCACAGCCATCACTTCTTTTTTTTTTTTTCCATTTATTTTTATTAGTTGGAGCCTAATTACTTTACAATATTGTAGTGGTTTTTGTCATACATTGACATGAATTAGCCATGGATTTACATGTATTCCCCATCCCGGTCCTCCCTCCCACCTCCCTCTCCACCCGATCCCTCTGGGTCTTCCCAGTGCACCAGGTCTGAGCACTTGTCTCATGCATCCTCTTAAACTATTAATAAAACAACATAAAATTGAAGGAAAAAAAGATAAAAGCTCTCTTAAACACTGCAAAACACTATTTTAACAATTCTTTCCTTACACTTGCTTTCTACTTTCTCTTAAGTACATACATAATTTCTCATAGATAATAAGAGAACCATTTCGTAGACTCTGGTTGAAGGCTATTACTAAGTCTTTTTAGGAATCCTTATGAAACAAAGAGAGGATCCCTCAGAAACTATTAGGTGATCAAGCAAAGTTCTTCTTGTCTAATCTCCAGCTCATTCAGCCTCTTTCTTCTAGCATCTTCCATGTGGCCTCTGCAATGTACCAGTACAATATACCGGGGGTCCCCGAGAATAAAGGAAGAACACTGCCTAATTTTAGAGACAGCTGTTTACAGTAGACAGTGATCGGGGAAGAAGGAGAAATTATGCAGGGCACTAGGTCTAAAAAATTTTATGGTAATAAGGGTGTTTGACTTAATGTTTCAATAATTAACTATCAAGTTGGCACTCACCTATACATGCAGTAAGAATATGCAGTTTTTAATTGACTACATTTCCTTTAAAGCATATTTAAATTTATACTTACATTCAAAGTGGGTTTTGATACATAACTTCGCTCTGCATACCTTATTTCCTGTAACATAAATATCTGTTATGATGTAAAAAATATTAATCTATATCACTTTATATTTCTCAGCAATGGGAATATGGTAATTTCTTTTTTCTGCATTATACCTTTATTTCTAAATTTTCCAGTTAGCATATATTACTGTTGAAATTTAAATATTACTATTTTTGCAATACTCTTACCTGATTAACTGTTCATTAGAAATGTATGTTTCAACTTCTGATAAGTTTATCATCTTAAAGTTTCTAATCCTTTTTAAGTATAAACTTTATAAAATGTAATTTTAAATTAAATCTGAGTTCTAAATTAAGTAAGCCCAAACTGGGCTGCTGCTTATACTAAAAGATTTGAGCATATTATCTGTGACCGAACTTTGAATTAAAAGTTTCTACTTGTGGAAAACACGCCAGTCATTGTCTTTCCAACTACACCCCTTACTCAGAGTCTGAGAGAGACAGCCCTAAGTACCTACAAGGTGACTCCCATCCTCCTCCCGCTGGCCAGAGCTGATGGACCGAAAACGGAATGAACTATGCCCCATTTCAAATATGGAATGAACTAAGCTAGCACTCTGAGAAACCTGATCAACTGGATGATGGGCACTGGAAGTGAAAGGGCCAAGGGGCTGGAGTTAGTCAGCAATGCCACGTAAAAGCAGAGGCTACAGCAAAGAGAAAAGCCATGAGAAAGCAGAGAAGCAAGGCAATGTAACATATACACTCAGAAAGGAAGGAAAGACCATGGCATACGACAGGAGACAAAACAAGGGAACCTAGTTAATGATTTTCTAGATAGGCTTCTACACCAAAGCCAGCTTCACTTTATTTCCTAACTTTGGATGTCCAAGAGCTTACCTAGTGTGTATCTTCAAAAAAGCCACTTTCTACTTAGCTATTGTGGATATTTTTCCTCGCAATCAAAGAGCCTTTTCTAAACCACTGTGAAGTTTCTGGTTCTGTTTAACTGAAGGGTCCCTGGGCCTCCCCACTTTGCCCTGGATCCCATTTCAGTTGCTTTTTCAAAGGTGCCACATCTTCAGTTAACTGTTCCCTCTTCATCATTCATCCCCTTTCAGTTCAGTTCAGTCACTCAGTCGTGTCCAACTCTCATCCCCTTTGCTCCTCAACTATTCTGCAAGCACATGAATAGGCTCTGGCTCCTCCCACCTAAAAGAATTAAAAACAACGAACTTCTCTTAACCCAGAGTCCCACTGAGCTTTCACCCCATTTCTTAGCTCCTCCATACAAGAAGTTCTCCAAGTTACCTAGAATTTGTCTCCTGTCATCACCTCCTATTTACTATTCAACTTACTCGATCTGGCTTTTATCTATCCTACTGTTGGCTCTGAGCAAGATTAACAATATCTGAAGAGCAAAATCCAATAAAGACCTCGCTATGTTCATCTCATCCTCTTGGCAACCTGGGACTCACTTTTCTTTTTGGGGAAACACCCACAGTGGTTAAGAGCCTGGGTTTACCAGCTGAGTTTTCCTTTTTTTTTTTTTTAATTGGTAGAAAATTACTTAAAGATATGTGATGGTTATGGTCATATAACAATGCAAATCAGTCACAATTACATATATGTGAGTGAGTCTCTTAAGTCTCCCTCACTTCAGTCGCTCAGTCGTGTCTGACTCTGCGACCCCACGGATGACAGCACACCAGGCTTCCGTGTCCATCACCAACTCCTGGAACTTGCTCAAACTCATGTCCATCGAGTCAGTGATGTGATCCAACCATCTCATCCTCTGTTGTCCCCTTCTCCTCCCACCTTCAACCTTTTTGAGCATCAGGGACTTTTCCAATAAATTAGTTTTTCGTATCAGGTGGCCAAATTAATGAAGTTTTAGCTTCAGGATCAGTCCTTCCAATGAATATTCAGGACTGATTTCCTTTAGGAATGACTGGTTGGATCTCCATGCAGTCCAAGGGACTCTCAAGAGTCTTCTCCAACACCACAGCTGTAAAGCATCAATTCTTCAGCGTTTAGCTTTCTTTATACTCCAACTCTCACATCCATACACAACTACGGGAAAAACCATAGCTTTGACTAGACGGATCTTTGACGGCAAAGTAATGTCTCTGCTTTTTAATATGCTGGCTAGATTTGTCATAGCTTTTCTTCAAAGGAGCAAGAGTGTTTTAGTTGCATGGCTGCAGTCACCATCTGCAGTGATTTTGGAGCCCAAAATAATAAAGTCTGTTACTCTTTCCATTGTTTCCCCATCTAATTGCCATGAAATGATGGGACTGGATGCCAGGATCTTAGTTTTTTGAATGTTGAGTTTTAAGTCAGCTTTTTCACTCTCCTCTTTCACTTTCATCAAGAGGCTCTTCAGTTCCTCTTCAGTTTCTGCCATAAGGGCGGTGTCATCTGCATATCTGAGGTTATTGATATTTCTCCCAGCAATCTTGATTCCAGCTGTGCTTCATCCAGCCCGGCATTTTGCATGATGTACTCTACATATAAGTTAAAAGAGCAGAATGACAATATACAGCCTTGATGTACTCCTTTCCCAATTCGGAACCATTGTTCCATGTCCAGTTATAACTGTTGCTTCTACACCTGCATACAGATTTCTCAGGAGGCAGGTAAGGTGGTCTGGTATTTCCACCTCTTGAAGAATTTTCCACAGTTTGTTGTGATCTACACAATCAAACACTTTGGCATAATCAATAAAGCAGAAGTAGATGTGTTTCTGGAATTCTCTTGCTTTTTCTATGATCTAGCAGATGTTAGCAATTTGATCTCTGGTTCCTCTGCCTTTTCTAAATCCAGCTTGAACATCTGGCATTTTCTGGTTCATGTACTGTTGAAGCCTATCTTGGATAATTTTGAGCATGACTTTGCTATCGTGTGAGATGAGTGCAATTGTGCTGTAGTTTGAACATTCTTTGGCATTCACCTTCTTTGGGACTGGAATGAAAACTTAACTTTTCCAGTCCTGTAGCCACTGCTGAATTTTCCAAATTTGTTGGCACACTGAGTGCAGCACTTTAACAGCATCATCTTTTAGGATTTGAAATAGCTCAGCTGGAATTCCATCACCTCCACCAGCTTTGTCCGTAGTGATGCTCCCACCCTTGAGTCTCCCTCCTCCCGCCCTTGTCCCATCCTTTGAAACTGAGTATTCTTGAATGTTAACCTCGGTTTTCTAAAATACTCTGCACAAGTTGTTATGAGAATGAAATGAGCCAATATGTATACACCATTATCCAAACCCTTTTTCTTGGCTTCCATCCTAAAATAATCTTGTGGTCCACCTCTTATCTCTCTAGTTATTTTTCTCAGCCTATCATTCCCTTTCCAACCTCTAACTGCTGGAATGTCCCAAGGCTTTGTTCCAGGCCCCTTTTAATTTTCAAACTTCACTGTCTCCATAATCATATCTAGCCCCATGGCTTTAAACAGCAATTATGTCCTGATGATTTCCAAATTTCTATCTCTAGCTCTGACCACTCAATTGACCTCTAGACTCATATAGTCAAGTGCCAAATTGATTAGCCTGATTTTACTCTCCAACACAGGGCTCTCAATTGCCACCCTAGAACACTAGTTTCTTTCCAGTATTTCCCACCTCAGGACATCACATCACAATCTGCCCAGGAGCTAAGCCAAAAATCTAAGGACTCACCTTCCATCTTTGCCTAATACCCAGAGATATTCTATCACAGGTATTGAAATACTGTGTCTAAAATATACCTGAATTCTTCCACTTTACTTCATCTGCACTGCCACCGTTTCTTGCCACTGTAATGAAGTTTCTATTTCATTTCCTGCATCCCCAACTTCCCTTCTTCAGTGCATTTCGTTTTTAAAACGTAAATCAGGGAGTTTCCTAGAGGTCCAATGGTTAGAATTTGGCACTTTCACTGCTGTGGCTCAGGTTCAATCCTTGATCAGGAAACTTAGATTCCAGGGGAACTAAGATCCCATAAGCTGCATGGTACAGACCAAAAAAACAAAATCAAAACACACACATACACATGCACGCAAAACATAAATCAGATTGTATCACTCCCCTGGTTAAAATCCTGTGATGGCTTTCCACTGCTCTTGGAATGATATCCAAAGTTCATCCCTTACCCTACAAATTCTTGGCTCTTGGAACTGTAGCTCCTGATGACTTGTATGGTATGATCTGGCTCCTGATTTTCTTTCCATTCACACGACTCTTATTCTGTGCCAGCTACACCGGCCTCCTCTTTGTTCTGGACCCATTTCCACCTCAAGCTCTTTACCGTGTGCCTCTACCAGTTAACAGTCCTTCTCCAGCTTGGCTCACCTGGTTCACTTTTGTTCTTCAGGATTCAGCTCAAACAACACAACCGCACAGCACCTCTCCCTGGCTACTTTTAAGTCAGCTTCTATTTCAACATGATTATTTCCTTCAAGGTACTTCTCACACTGTGTAAATACAAGGTATACATATTTATTCTCTCTTCATATAATACAAGCTTCCTGTGATCAATCCTCTCTTTCACCTTCCTCCTTCCTGGTTCACTACTATATCCTTGTCATTTGGCATAATGCCCAGAGCTCATTAAATTTTGCCAGGAATGGCAAAACTATAGTAGGATCAAGACATGTGATGAATGAACATGGCCACTTAAATTTTATTTGCATGTCACAATCATCTTTCAAGGACAGCGCATTTGCTCCAAGCACTCTCTAGAGACCACCCCTGACAATGCAGGCAGGCACTTCAATCTTAGCTTCTGCAGCACACTTATACCTGCTCTATTTTTCCAAAACATATAATTCCCTCACTGGCCTCACTGTCTCCCTATCACACTGTGAGTTTCAAGAAGAGACTAATTTTATTTTTTGATCCCAATGATGGCAAGGAACACTTAACAAATAAACAAGGTCTGGTCTTACTAGCACCTCTGAAAAACATTTCAGGTAGGGTAAGTACATTTTGAAGTCAACAAAATGGGATAATGAGTTACAGAACGAGGGCCTGTTTCACATAGGATGTTCAGAAAAGGGCTCTCTGGAGATGTCACTGGGGCTGAGAAATTGAATATTAAGAGACTCAGCCTGGGAAAAGTCTAGGGAAAGAGCATCTGAGGCATTAGGAAGAACTAGGACAAGGCCTTGAATTAGGAACAAACTTAACACATGCCAAGTAGAAAAAGTGGACTAGTGTAGCAGAAGCCACATACTCAAGAGAACACACAGTCTGGCTGAGACTAAAAAAGCAAGGAGTGACCAAACAGGGCCTGAGAAGGCGTCTGTATAACGAGAAGCCACTGAAGGCTTTACTGTTATAAAAAGGCCCCTCTGGCTGAAGTGGACAGAATGACTATGAGCAGGAGCAAAAAGGGGAAGGAGACTGGCCAAGAGCTCACGTGGCGAATGCTAGGGAGGTCACAAGTGGGGCGGATACAAACAGATGGATACGGAGCATGTTTTATATCCAGAACAAGCTAATGGGTGGGTATCACTATTCTTATCTGACAGGTGAAGAAACTTAAGCACTGGAAGGTCAGGTAACCTGCCCAGAGTCCCAGAGCCAACAAGGTGCAGACACGGGATTTCAAACCCAAGCAGCATCGCCCTGTTACGGATAGACAGAGTCTACATGTGTATACACGACAGAACGTGGTCCACTGGAGAAGGGACAGCAAACCACGACAGCACTCTTGCCTTGAGAACCCCAAGAACAGTATGAAGAGGCAAAAAGATAGGACACTGAAAGAGGAACTCCCCAGGTCGGGAGGTGCCCAATATGCTACTGAAAAAGAGCAGAGAAATAGCCCCAGAAAGAATGAAGAGGCTGAGCCAAAGCAGAAACAACACCCAGTCGTGGATGTGTCTGGTGGTGAAAGTAAAGTGTGATGCTGTAAAGAACAATATTGCATAGGAACCTGGAACGCTGGGTCCATGAATCGGTGTAAACTGGAAGTGGTCAAACAGGAGATGGCAACAGCAAACATCAAGATTTTAGGAATCGGTGAACTAAAATGGGCCAGAATGGGAGAATTTAATTCAGATGACCATTATATCTACTACCGTTGGCAAGAATCCATTAGAAGAAATGGAGTAGCCCTCATAGTCAACAAGAGTCCTAAATGTAGTACTTGGGCGCAGTCTCAAAAATGACAGAATGATCTCTGTTCATTTCCAAGGCAAAACATTCAATATCACAGTAATCCAAGTCTATGCCCCAACCACTAATGCTGAAGAAGCTGAAGGTCTTCCACAAAAACCTACAAGATTTTCTAGAAATAACAACAATAACAAAAGATGTCCTTTTCATCATAAGGGACTGAATACAAAAGTCAAGAGATACCTAAGGTAACAGGCAAATTTGGCCTTGGAGTACAGAATGAAGTAGGGCGAAGGCTAACAGAGTTTTGCCAAGAGAATGTGCTGGTCATAGCAAACACCCTCTTCCAACAACACAAGAGACAACTCTATACATGGACATCACCAGATGGTCAATACCAAATTCAGATTGATTATATTCTTTGCAGTCAAAGATGGATAAACTCTATACAGTCAGCAAAAACAAGACTGGGAGCTGACTGTGGCTCACATCATAAACTCCTTATTGCAAAATTCAGATTTAAATTGAAGAAAGTAGG